GAGGCGGGGCGGTCCCACCCCCTTGCGCGGCCGGCGGTCTCGGATTGGCCCTCCGGCCCGCCGCGCCCAGACACTGGCGGCTCCTTCCCGATACCCGCCCGCCCATTGGTTTGACGGCAGGGAGGGGCGGGCATTCTGTGGTGCGTCAGCTGGCAGCGCTGTTGGGATTGGCCGGTGGGGCCGTGCGCGAGGTGCTGTGGGAGGAGCCGCGTTTTCCCTCAGTAAGGGCGGGAGCCGCGCTCTGGGGGCTCTCGGTCTCCGGGGCCGCCGTGAGGGACCGGAACGGGCCGGGATTAGCCCGGAGAGAAGGGGCAGCGGGGTGGGGGGGCGGTGTCTGAGCCCCGGGTGAGAGGGGGCAGCGGGGACGGGCCGCCAGGCAGAGCCCCGCCAGCGGCAGCGGTGCCTCGGGGCCGCCGGGCTGAGGTGAGCGGGTGCGGGGCTGGTTTGTCTCTCAGTAATTTCACTTTTCAGCAAGGTCTCTTCTAATCCTTGGGAAAAGTGCGTCTTTAGAACACTCTAGTGAATGAATTTGTGAAAATATTTCCTCTACAGCCAGCTCTGGGGGGCGGGTTTTCCATCTCCCCAGGTGCGGGGATGAGGAGGAGCGAGCCCCGGGCACCTGACCCGAGCTGCCAACAGGGTTATTTCATACCATGAACGTCACGTTCAATAGAAATCAGAAGTTTCCTGAGGATTTCTCTCTCTCTCCCCCTCTCCCTTGATGGCTGCCATCCTGGGAACTCCTTGCCCCGGAGCCCTGAGCCCTTCCCTTCCTCCCGGAGCCACAGGACATGGGCTGTCCCTGCAGGGAGTGCACAGCTTCTGCTGGGATAATGGGCTAAGGATAATCCTTGCATGTTTTAGAGTCGTATCAGGATCAATATAGGCTCTTTAATGCTACTAATGTTAATAATTAAGTATTATTCTATTAAATCTGTTTATATTTCAACCCACGGGTTTCTTTGTTTTTTCCTAGTTCCCTTTCCTGGGTGGGGAGGGAGCATCGGTGAAAGAATAAATTTCTAAATGACAATCATAGAATCACAGATTGGTTTGGGTGGGAAGGGACCTTAAAGCCCACCCAGTGCCACCCCCTGCCCTGGGCAGGGACACCTCCCACCACACCAGGTTGCTCCAAGCCCCCTCCAACCTGCCCTTGAACCCCTCCAGGGATGGGGCAGCCACAGCTTCTCTGGCCAACCTGGGCCAGGCTCTCACCACCCTCACACCAAACAAGTTCTTCCCCACAGCTCAGCTCCATCTCCCCTCTTGCAGGGTCAAACCCTTCCCCCTCCTCCTAGGGCTCCCCTCCCTCATCCAGAGTCCCTCCCCAGCTTTCCGGTAGGAATAAATTGTTGTGGGTTCTTCAAACCACAAGTGCTTTGTGGGGAAAAAAGGGGACTTTAAATCTTTGAAACGGCTCCAAAACAGCAGTGCATCAACACAGCAAACCTTCCTTCAAATGGGGTGCCACGGCTGCCTCTGGTAGTGCATCCCATGGCTTTGCTTTCTTTCCATGGTTTTCCATTCAACAGCGTCTGGCTCACACTAATGGCATGTTTTTATGCTTTGTGCTATAAATTACAGGTGTGTGTGAGCCTGAACATAATGGGAGCTCAGAGCTGCTACTCCAGTGTCTCGTGTCAAAGCCTGGAGTTCCCTCCTGCGGTGGTCAGGAGGGCTGGGGGCTCCTAGAGCCCGATCTGGGCCTTCACTCACGACATGGGGGTCTCTCCCCACCGCAGCTCTCGCTCCTACACGGAGCTGGCGCAGCCTGGGCCCGTTTGAGCGCTCGCCAAGGGTTTGCAGCCAAACCCTGGGATATGGATCCATACGGAGCCCACTCCCGGGATTCGGCATCACTCTCAAATCCACAAATTGTATCAGATAAACTGTCTCACACTGCGAGATGAAAACAGCCTGTGCACAGACCTCTGTAACGTTCTGCGGGAGAAAAAAAGCCCAATTACAGTCTTTGGGCTTGACTTTGCTCTGAGGGGGGAAGGCGGCAAACGGGACCTGGACAGGCTGGAGAGCTGGGCAGAGAAGAACCTCAGGAGCTTCAACAAGGGCAAGTGTAGGGTCCTGCACCTGGGGAGGAAGAATGCCAGGCACCAGTGTGGGTTAGGGGTGGACCTGCTGGGAAGCACTTCTGAGGAGAAGGATCTGGGGGTCCTGGTGGACAGGGAACTCTCCAGGAGCCAGCAATGGGCCCTGGTGGCCAAGAGGCCAATGGGATCCTGGGCTGCAGAGGGAAGAGTGTGGGCAGGAGGTGGAGGGAGGTCATTCTCCCCCTCTGCTCTGCACTGGGGAGGCCACAACTGGAATCCTGCAGCCAGTTCTGGGCTCCCCAGTTCAAGAGGGACAGGGAACTGCTGGAGAGAGTCCAGCGAAGGGCAACAGAGATGATGGAGGGATTGGAGCATCTCCCTGATGAGGAAATCATGCTTCCAAGGATCTCAAGGGAGGGTTGAAGGAGGATGGAGCCGGACTCTTCTCAGTGGTTCCCAGGGACAGGACGAGGGGCAACGGGCACAAGCTGGACCATGGGAAGTTCCACTCCAATGGGAGGAAGAACTTGTTTGGGGTGAGGGTGGCAGAGCCCTGGCAGAGGCTGCCCAGGGAGGGTGTGGAGTCCCCTTCTCTGGAGATCTTCAAGCCCCACCTGGATGCTCCTGAGTGATGTGCTCTGGGCAGCCCTGCTTTGGCCGGGGAGTTGGACTGGATGGTCTCTAGATGGTCCCTTCCAACTCCAACAAATCCATGATTCGGTAATATCGGATAAACTGTCTCACACTGAGAGATGACAACAGCTATTCACAGACCTGTGTAACATTCTGCAGGAGAAAAAAAGCCCAATTACAGTCTTTGGGCTTGACTTTGCTCTGAGGGAGGAAGGCAGCAAACGCCTGGGCTCCAAAGCGGGTTCGATACCGTCTGACACTGACCACAACAGCCTGGAAATCAATGTGGGGAGTGAGCTTTAACGCATTAGCAACTTGTTACATCAGCTTCCTGCGCAGGGCTTTGACAATGTAATAAAATATTAATATTGATCTTAACTGCCTGTTTGCTGCCTCGAACAGGTAGGAACATCAACCAGAACCTCGAGGGGAATGCCAAGCTCACGGAAAACTGGAGGGCACTTCAATGCAGTCACCCAAAGTGGCAGATAGCCCAGACCCACAGATGTGCCTCAGAGCGGAGTGAGGATAAAGAAATCAGGTCGATGCCTAAATCTGTTGTGGGCAGCTCAGAAAAGGGCAAGAATCTGGTTTCCCCCACTGGGATCCCATTCCTCCTGCTTGCACCACAGCTCAGCAGAGTTCCTCTGTGCCCAACAGAAGTCACCACCATGGGGAAAACCTCTGAAAAGCAGTTGTTAAGTATTGCAAATAACCCAAATAACCCCCCGGCTTCGGGCAGGTAACTGTGGGGAGGGTCTCACCAGAGGGGATTTGCTTCCCAGGCTCTGTTGGGGGTGAGACCGACAGGCGAACACCCACATCTGCTGAAACAGCATTTTCCTCGGCAGCTGGGAAAGGTGTCTGTCCTGGAGGGTCCTCAGGAGGAGTCTGGTGCTGCTGCACCCGCAGCAGTGAGGAGTGGCCAGAGTCCCCCATTTCAAAGGAGAAAAAACGGTATTTCACTGTTTCAAGGGGCATAAAGAAGCAAAGCAAAGCTCCCCAACCCAAACGTGAAGGTCACACTGGTTCCTCTCCCGATCCAGGACCAAAGGGGACACCAGCCCATGACGGCTTGGTCCTGAGCTCCAGCCACAGCTCCCTTGGTGACAGCACTGCACCTCGAGGAGCTTTGGGCACAAGGCTCTGAACCAGGTGCCTTCCCAGGCTTGTCCTGAAGCTCTGCCCCACAGCCAGCACCTCCCCGGGAGAGGGAGCCTGGGATGGAGCAGGAGGACAGTGCCCGCTGTGGAGCTGAGACCCTCGCTGACAACCTCTCTGTGTTCCCGTGGTCTCCTGAGTGACACCTCCAGCAGATACAACATCTGCATCCTGACCTCCCAGGTGGGTTTAGGGGTTTAGGAAGGAGCCCTGGGCAGGATCCAGCTGCCCAGGCTCGTGCCACCAACCTTCCTGTCACCCCCTGGCTGGCAGAAAGGGAGTAAGAAGCCTGGAAGCTGGGTAGCAACAGGAAATAAAGGAGATGTATCACAACACAAATGCCCACGACTCATAACAAAATCTAAGCCTTTATCGTCATGGAGTTATCTGTGCACTGCCTTTATCCACCCAAATAGAGATGGGCCCAGATTCCGTAAAAATAGCTTGAGAAGGGAAAAGCTAAACCAGTTGAGAACTGAAAAGTTAAAAAAAAAAGGCAAAAAAATAGAAAGAAAAAAAAAAAAAGAACTAACAAACAAAATAGCCTGAGAAGTGAATTCAAGAGTAGGTTTGGTTTCAGGGCTTTTAGGTTTTTTCCTTAGGCCTTTTTACTGAAAACAGTGATATTAATACACTTGGCAGAGTATCTAAACCAGCAGCATCACTGAGACTGGGCTCCGAGCAACCTGATGCAGTTGGAGATGTGCCTGCCCATGCAGGGGGCGGGACTTGGCCTTTAAATGTCTAGTCCCGCCCAAAACCATTCTATGATTCTCAAGAAAGAAGGTCTGGCAGCACCATGACCCTGCTGTTGAGCTGGGCTCCCTCTTCCACCAGGTTCCCTGTGGATTCTCCCACCACCCCGGGGCTCTGGGGCACCCTCAGCTCCTGGCTCCCAGCAGGGGCTCAGCCCGGCAGGCTCTGCCATGGGGCTGGGGACCTGCTCTGGCACCGGCAACAGGTGAAGGACATCTCCTCTTGCTCCCATGGAGGACACACAGGGCTGCCAGGGCAGTTTGGCCAAGGTCCTGGTGCGGAGCCGGGTGGCAGCTGAGGGAAGCCTTGCTGACAGGGACCAAGGGTGAAAGGCCCCGGCAGTGGCAGGGCACCAGGGTGGTGGGGCATGGGGGGGTGACAGGGCCCAGAGGTGGCACGGCCTGAGAGGGTGACCGGGCCCAGAGGTGATGGTCCTTGGGGGTGATGGGTCTCCAAGGGGTGACAGGGCCCAGAGAAGCAACAGGGCCTGGGGGTGGCAAGTCCCCAAGGGGTGACAGGGCCTAGAGAAGCAACAGGGCCTGAGGGTGGCAAGTCCCCAGGGGGTGACAGGACCCAGAGACGTGACAAGGCCTTGGGGTGGTGAGGCCCAAAGGGGTGACAGGGCCCAGAGAAGCAACAGGGCCTGGGGGTGACAGGTCTCCAAGTGGTGACAGGGCCTAGAGAAGCAACAGGGCCTGGGGATAGCAAGTCCCTGAGGGGTGACAGGGCCCAGAGAAGTGACAGGGCCTGGGCGTGCTGAGGCCCAAAGGGGTGACAGGGCCCAGGGGAGAGACAGGGCCTGGGGGCAACGGGTCCTGAGGGGGTGACAGGGCCCCGGGGAGAGACAGGGCCTGGGGGCGATGGGTCCTGGGGGGGTGACAGGGCCAGGGGGTGGCAGGTCCTGAAGGGGTGGCAGGGCCCGGGGCTGCCTCACGCTCTGCCCTGAGGGAGCGGCCAGGCCTGTGCCAGCCCCGCGGCTCTCGGGGGAGGCTCCGGGGCAGCGCCCCCTGCGGACGCTCCGGCTCCAGCAATGGAGTCGGGAAGCGCTGTCTCCAGGTGAACAACGCCTCCGCCGCCCCTCATTGGCGGAAGGGCTGAGGGAGTTGATTTTTCATTGGTTGGTGTTAGCGGACAGGGGCCAATAGAAATAAAGCTCTGTTACCATGAGACTAGCTCCGGGCTCTCGATGTGGAGGCACCGCGTGGAGCACAGTGAGGGTCACGCGGCGCGGGGAGGTGCGAGGAGGCGAGGCGGCTCCTCATTGGTCAGAAGGCTCCGGGCTTGGCCAATCCCCTGGCGCGCGCGGGGCGGGA